CACACACACACACACACACACACACACACACACACACACACACACACACACACACACAGAGCAGTCACTTTGAATTCACAGATAAAAGAGGATAACCTGCCAGTCTCTGTGTTTCACTGTTATAAATGTAGAGGCAAGCAAAAGGATAGAGAATGTATGTACCCCATCATCATTCAGCTCAGAAGGATCAAAACCCTTTGCCCATCCACTGTCAAAACTGTAGATTTCCTCCTCTTTCTCGGTTATTCTTGCTGTCGCCGTGTTACCCAGTTTCCTTCTCCTTGCCTGCACCGCATCACCTTGCTCCTGACTTTCTCCTGCCCCAAATCATTTGCAAATGATGATACAATCATTAAAAATTTCCATCATCTGTCGTTCAGGACTTCTGCTAAAATTGGAACAACACACAGAAGATTAGCATGACCCTGTGCAAGGATGACACACAGACATCGAGAAATGGTCCAAACAAAAAGAAAAAGAAAAGACAAAGAAAAGGAGGACACAACATGAACTGTTGAAATACAGACCCAAGTTCGAATCCTGATGGACCTAGATGTATGCAATGAAATAATTCTGAATGACCTGGGGGTGGTGAACTCCATGATCATATCTTGAGGCCGTTGCCTTTTCGAAGAATAGAAAAAAAATCAGAAAAAAAAAAAGAAGGAGAAGAGGAAAGCACAAATCGAGAAATAATAAGGAGAGGGGAAAAAGGGGAGAGGAAAGAAAAGGGAGTAACTCAGGAAAGGCAAAAAAAAAAAAAAAGGAAAGAAGGGGGAGGGGAGGAGGAGGAAAGGAGGAAAAGTGGAAGAGGAAGAAGAGGGAGAAAAAGGAAAGAAGAAGGAAAAGGGAGAAAAGGGGAAGAAGGGAAGAAAAGGGGGGAAGAGAAGAGAAGGAAGAGAGGAGAAGAAGGGAGGTGAAAAGAGGGGGAAAGGGAAGAGAAGAGAGAAAAGAGGAGGAGGAGGGGGAGGAAAAAGTGAAAGGGAGAGGAGAAGGGGAAGAGGAGGAGAGTAAGGGAGAAGAGAAGGGAATAGGAACAAAAAAAGGAAAACAGGAAGGGAAGAGAAAGAAAGAGGAGAGGCAGAAGTAAAGGAAGACACGAAAAGGGAAGAAAATGGAGGGAGAAAAGAAGAAGAGGAGAGAAAAAATTTTGTCATCGCTTTTTGTCGTGAATTGCACAAAAAGATGAACGGCAAATCCCTGTAATTGCTTTTTCTTTTTCAGAGGGAGGAAGGGGGGGGGGAGCAGGTTAACGGAGGCCCAAAATGTTCGACAACTTGTCATGCCATTGATTAAAAAATCCAAGAGTCATTTTAACCAAACTTGCCACCATTTCATAGAGTTGAGACCATAGTTGCGGTGCACCTCGGTGCGCAGGTTTGCGCACGCGTTGCGCACCGTGCGCACCGAAGCGCACCGCATTGGAAAAAATAGGTCCCAAAAAAAAAAAAAAAAAAAGTAGGGGTTTTGTAATTTCTTAGGGTCCCCAACTCGGCTAACCGCACGAGTTCAGAAACCGGCTGCACCCCCGGCCCGAATTTTTTTTGGGGCAAGGGCTGCCGAATTTCGATTTCCGCAGGCCCTTCCCCCAAAAGTTTCAAAATGGCGAATCATGAAAATAGGGCGCATTCCAACTTTTTTTTAGGCGGGGTGTGGAAACTGCCCTTCCCCCTCCCTTCTGCAAATCCCACACAGTGTGGGAAAAATTCGCAAGAAGGGAGTAGTTGCCTAATAGCGACCTGGCCCGCAAAGCTTCGCAGAAGTCACAAGATGTGTTTTGCAAGGCCAGCCAACGACCAATATATGCTGAAGATTGGCATTCAGGTCTGCATGTCGGCAGTTATTGGTTAGGAACTTAGGCTGAAGATGCCTGTAGCTCTCTCGTTTTTTTGTTTTTGTTTTCTTATGAATACGGACAGTGGGGCCTGCTCCACTACTCACCACATGCACAAACGACACAGCATATGGCGGTGCATGGTTCCATGTTTTAGCAGAAGATTCATTATACTAATGTTATATACTTTTTTTAAGTTTTTTTTTTATATATACATTTGGTGAGTGGTGGAGGGAGGCCCTGAGAATCACGTGGAGACACGAACAGGGTCTAGCTGAATTGGTGACCCATAACTGCAGGGCTAGATCCCTGAACTCGAACCCACGGCATATATTGGTGGTCTGCTCCCATCTCTTTCACATATGTCGTGGCCATCCTTCTCCTTGAAGCAGTGGTCCTCAATGACTCCACAGAGTCCACATATATTTTAGGAGTCATTCGCAGTACCTGCAGGGGCCCTCGACTTGACGTGAAGGGGACCCTTTGGTCTCTCTCTCTCTCTCTCTCTCTCTCTCTCTCTCTCTCTCTCTCTCTCTCTCTCTCTCTCTCTCGCGCGCGCGCGCGCGCACAGAGCGCACCTCCCTCAGCGCGCGCACTGCGCACGACTCACAGTGCATGCGCTGTCATTCCAGCGCACAGCACACTGCGCACTGGCCCACACCGCACTGCGCACTGGCCCACACCGCACTGCGCACTGGTGCACCGCCACTATGGTTGAGACCATACTAACTAATTGCAAAAAAAAACACTATAAAACAGCAAGGCAAAAGTGCACTTTCATGAAATTTCACCAACATTCCAATTTCATAAATCTTGAGAAATTTCAGAAATCTCAGCAGAGGAAATTCCAATGCTCCTAATGATACCAAATTTGGCACACAGCAACCTTGAACCAAAACAGAAACAGGCAAAAAAAAATATTTTGCATCCAGGCTCAGATTATGTATCAAAGATTCAAGATTTAAATTTCTAAATTAAAACAACAGATAAACTTACTAGTAGTTACTACCATATGCTACCCAGCCAGCGATCGCAATAATCCAGGTCAATTTCCAGGGGTGCAGATGCTCCAAGGTGTGCACAGAGGAGGACAGGGCAGTTTGTATTTCATTAGATAGACGGATTAAGAATATGTAAGGGAGACCTGGACCCAGTGCATGGGACTCAATGACACACACATATTACTCTAAATGTTGATAAACAGAGCATGAGCTCAAATCCTATCGGAATCAGATAGACGGTATGGATCCTAAACGCGGTGAACTGGATTATGAAATTCTTCCATGACAAAGGGTCATTACTGGATGAGAATTAAGTGTAAAGGGAAGAAGGCAACCTTTGGCAAATCACATGGGGAGGAAGGGTGGAAGTCAATAAAGGTAAACTGATTTGATTACCCTAACAAAGTTCCAACTGGATAATATCTTGGGGAAATTGCAACTAAACCCCGCTTAAAGATGGGAATACCTGCAATACCCAGTCCCAACGCGAACTTGCATCTATACCAGGACCCCGTTCAACTTTGCATACTACCCCAACTTTTCCCCTGTACGAAATTGTAGGGCGTACCCAGTCCTGCAGGCCATCCATTCTGGACCACGAAATTATGCTCATGCCCAGAAACCCAGCTGCAAAATTGCCGGTGCACCCACACCCAGGGGGTGGGCCTTGGATGGCGGACCACGAAAATATGCTCATGCCCACCAAGTGAACCGTTGTGGCCTGACGGCTGTTGGGTATGAGCATAATTTCAGCAATCCGGTAGTAGGGTATATGAATAATTTGGCCGGTCCACCTCAGTCCCGGGCATGCCCATAATTTTGCCTAAGTATGTCGGTACTATGTCCATAATTTGTGCATTTTGGTAATTGGTTACAACTTATAACCACAATTTCGCAGTACCAACCTGGGTCCACCTCGATCCTGGGCATGCAAATAATTTCCGCCGGCCGTTTTCCGGGTATAGATGCAAGTTGGCGCTGTGACTGGGTGTACTGGATATTCCCATCTTTAAACCACCAGTACTTGGCCCAGCTATGAAGTCCGAGCCCCGGCTGACCGGTATGCCGACCAGTGCCGAGGCTGGAGCTGCCGGGCGTTCACTTCCCCGCCCTACTTCTAGAAGAAAAGGAAAAAAAAAAAGAAAAAAATTCAAAAAAACTACATTACCAACCGTCCAATGGCTGGACATCTCGGCCGGACATCCTAGTCGGACAGTCGGGCTCCCATTGTCCAGGATCCCGGACAACGTGTTCACTACTGATTTAGACGTCGGCAAAAATAAATAAAAAATGGGGGTGTCTGCGC